ATTTTTAGATGATTTCAAAGGATTTTTGAGAGAAAAATAAATCATATTTTTATTATTTTATTCTTTTAAAAATGGTAATATATGATAATAAATATTTAGGATGATTTAAAAGGATTTAAAAAGAAAATGATAATATTTATTAATATTAATAATGCATGATAAGTTTACTATTAACTTTTAGATATTATATATGATTATATTCAGTTTGATATATGATATTAGAAATAAAAAAGATAAGATTATTTTTTTATTTGAAATAGCTGATTATTTTATAATTAAATTCTAAAACTAGTACATTGTATAAGAAGTTTGCTAGAAAATAGGATTCTGAAATTTTTTTTGACTAAAATTAAGACCTTATTACATTTTAATCTAATAATATCAAAATTAAAATGCAATAAAAAATAAAATTTTGTTTAAAAAAATTCTAGAATCCCATTTTTTTTTAGCAAATCTCCCATTTAATTTATAATATAATTTATAGATAATAAAGATTTCAAAATTTGATATATACTTTTTGAATATTTTTACTATTAAATTTTGAATATTAATATTATAATAAATAAATATTTATCCAAAGATCTTTAATATATATGATTTGTACTATACAAAATTAGAAACTTTATATCAATAACTTTTACAATGTAATTTTAGGATCCAAACATCTCTCATTTAATTAACAAATGTTTATGATTTTACTATTGATTCTTCTCATTGAGACGATTCTGATACCAAGATCATCAAAATCACTAGTTAGCTTAAAAACCGAGGTATGTAGGATAATGAATCTTGAAAACACCCTATAATACGCAATTCTGGCCGGAATTTACATATAAACTCTACGCAAACTCTCCATTCTTTTCATGTCAATATTAGAAACGAGTAATAATTCAAATGTATTGCAAAAGGATCATTAGTTATATTAAAAGAAAATTAACAAAATGAAATTAACATAACAAACTTATTTTTTATATTCTGTTATTGCTATTATTTCAGATTTTATTAACATAGATTAAAGAAATTATGTGTTCCTTTCAGTAAATACAAGTTTTAAATCAACAGGCCTTAATAAATATTGAGGCTCAAGTAACAACTTGTCCTTATTGATGCTGTTTTCAGGAAGGGTCCATTTATACTTGAGCACTTTTTTTAGATAAAAAGCACATTAATTAATTTCTCGTAAAAAAATAAAATAAAATAAACTTTTTTAATAAATATAAATTTATGAATACTTACAAAGCATTGAAAGAATAACTCTTTGTTCCATTAAAGTGAAGTTTTGACCAACACTTTAACATTTTAAAACAAAGTAATTGATAAATAATGGATTTAAATTTATCATTAAACGTTTCTTATAATAGTAACTTACCAATTCCTTACACCAGAAGAAAATGGAACCCAAGAAAGTGGGTGAACCTTTTTATTATTTAAAAATCTTTCAGGATTGTATTGTTCAGGGTTTTCCCAATATTTTGGATTATTGTTCATTTGCCAAATACTCATGGTACATAATACGTTCGCTGGTAGAATATAAGGACCAATTTTCATTGGCTTTGTTAGTTTTCGAGGGACTATTGCTGCGGCTGGCGGATAAATTCGTAAGGATTCTTTAATAACTGCATTGATATATTTCATTTCCTTTTTTTAAAGAAAAAGTGTTAGTTAAGTAGATTTGCAAAATGTGAAAAATTGAAATAGTTACCTTTAATTGTTCCGTTGTAGGAATAATTGGTTCGTTTCCAAGTACACTGATTACTTCTCCTCGTGCTCTTTCTTGCATTTCCTATGTAATTTCAATTATGTAAAAAAAAAAAAAGTTTATTAAAAACCAAAGTAAAATCAATTCAAGATTTATTTATTAGATGATTACCGGATATTTTGCAAGAAAATATAACGAACTGCTTAACGCCATTGAAGTTGCTGTTATCATACACATTATAATTATTAAATATATTTAAATAATTAAGAATAAAAAAAAAAAAAATAAATAAATAAATAAAGGAAAAATATATTTACTGTCATGGCCTGCAACGAAAAAGCCCACCATCTCATCTCTTAATTGCTTTGAATCAGTATGAATTCCCTCCTGGTTGCTAAGCTCCAGCATACTTGTTAACAGATCGACTCGACCATTATTATAACCATTCTGATTTTCAACTTCATCTCTCCTTGTCTTAATAATATCAGAAATGAACTCATTAAATTCTTTATTAGCTTCAAAGAATTTTCTATTTTGAGCTGTCGGTAATTTAATCAACCATGGAAATATGATTTGATAAACAGATTCTACGGTTGACATTATATATTTATAAATATTTATGATATGAGGAGTTTCGGCAGAATTCAAGCACTAAACAAAAAAAAAAGGATCCCCGAATATTTTTTTGATTATTAAAAAAATTCGGTATATTGTTATGTTAAGAAATCAGTACTTGCACCAAATCGATATCCAAATGCCAATTTCCCAAGCACTTCGACTGTAGTACGTTGCATAATTTCGAATATATCAATCGGTCTACTTAAATTATGTTGCATGAAATTAAAAAGTTCAAATGTAGTTTCACCAACGATATCTGGAGACAAGGCGTTATTGAAAGCAGGACTGGCTAATCTTCTAAAAGTTCTCCATTTCTATAAAATATACGAATCCAATCATTATAAAATATTGAGTGTCATATGACAAGTCAAGTATATACGTACGTCACCATTCGAAAAGATTAAACCATCACCGAAAAACTCCTGCATAGCTCCTCTGAAACTCATATTAAGTTTTGGAGGATCTTCATCCTCTATAAAAGAATTTGATGTTAAATGATAGAATTGGAATTAACATTGCATTTTTTATGCTCACCGAGTTTTGTAAAGAAATCCTTAAGGTACAAAGGATTATTGATATTTACGGATGTTTGACCAAAAACGTTACTCTAAGGAATAAAATTTTCGAAATCAATGATTCAATAATAAATCAAATTAAGAATATATGTATGAAATTTAACTTACCAAATAAATATCATAACCTCGAACAGATTTTGCCATCTTATCTTCGATTTCGTCATGATGCTTTTGTCGAAACAATGCCCATATTATAGGCCACGCAGAAATAAGTGGAATACCTTCAAGTCCTTTTGGTATTTTATTTTTAGCATGTATGTAATAAGCGATAGTAGCAAAACTAATGATAAATGTTATTAATGCAAACATTTTAATGTTAAAAAATTTTCAAAATTTAGCTTTTTAAATATGTTAAATATGTTACCGTATTTTTATTGTATCACAATTCGGTCAATTCCTGTTATGGGGCATCCGGATCGTCGATTTTTTTTTTTTAAAAAAAAAATGCTCGTATATGTGAAATTCAATTAAATTAATTAAATTAAACCAATCCAGAACACTACTCACGCTCGGTGGATCTTTAACACTATATAAAGTTTATGCCATATATAGATGTTGGTGTAAGGTGATTCAACTTTATATAGTGGAATCTATGACCATTCCCAAAAAGGAAGGAATAGGTATAAATTTGGTTAGCTTCATGCATGCAGGGGGCCGTTTTTATTTATATTGATAGGAAACAATGGTTGTTTATATATGATTTTTTTTAAAAAAAAAATCGGTACTTAATGAAAGAATTCGTCAAAAACATATACTGCGGTAACGAAAATCCTGTTTCATCCGATAATTTCAGCCAAAGGGATGAACAACCTAAAACTGCCTAAAACAAGATAAAATAAATAAAATCAGTAATCAAATTAATTACCAAAGAAAAAAAAATAAATAAAAATATTAAAATAATAATTTATTAAAAAATAAAAAATAAAAAAAAAATATTAATAAACATAAAAAAAAAGAAAAAGAAAAATTCAAAAATTCTTTTCATTCATTTTAGATATTTAAAAACAACGATAGCGATCAATCTTTGAAATCAATTTTAACCAACTTTGTTTAAAAATTCAGCATGTATATGAGAAACGATCATATCAATATGGGACGGTTATGGATTTAGGAAATCAAAATCTTTAACTCGTGCTATACTATTCATGATCGTGACGCCCAAGAGGGTATAGCTTTATAATGCATATCATTAATGCTTGATACTTTTAAATAATCGCTGTTTGTCTTGTTTTATAAATAAAAAATTATTTGAGAAAGATTCAGATTCATCAATTTGAGACTAGAGAGATCGTTAAGTATTTCAAACCTATAATATTTATAATATTTAAGTAATATCTATATATCAACTAAATTCAACAAAAATTCGATGGTTGAGAGTAACCTTTTTCAATCCACATAGATCAAACTCATCGAAGGTACATTAGATGAAAATAAAAAGGATAACCGGAAATACAGATTTTTTCACACAAATATTTAGGAATGGTGTAAAGGTTGCTCCATTATTTTATTTTTCAAAAAAGTTCATATAGGAATACGCAGTTATATGGAATGAGATTAAGTATTGACAAATAATAAGGATTGCAAATTTTGAAATTTTGTGAAAAATTAGTTTATTACGAGATACCGAAATATTTTTATGCGGAAATTCGGATGGACCTATCAGCTTGTCACGACAGCGTGAATGTTTCTATCTTTCTTTTAAACATTAATTATTGCGTATATGTAATTTGTGTAATACATATTAAATTAATAAAAAAAATTTAATAAATTATTTATTTAAGCAATAATCTCATTTTTATCTCAGATGCAATATCATTTTATTATAACTTAATAAAGGATATATCAAAACTAAATATTAAGAAAGCAGTAAAAAGAAGTATAAATACCATACCTAGTGGTGACGAAGTCGCTGCTAATCTAGTTTAGTTACATAATATATGAACGAATGTAAATTTTTTTACAATATTCATGTCCAATAATTAAATAAACAAATATTAAACCATAAAATGTTATGAATTATATAGTATTATTAAAAAAAAGTTTGATTTTCACGATAGATTATTATCATTAAACTAGTGGTTTTACCCGGGTGATGTCCAGGGGGTAGCTAACATGACATGAAATAATTTTTTTTAAAGTTTTAGCATATCAAAATTTAAAATAAGTAATACAATCTATTGATGTTTTTTATAAATAATCCAACCTTAACACTATTCTAAAATCGATTCTAATATCGAAATTGATTTCAATCCCTAGCCCAGAAGACGTACAGGCGTGTATGTATGAATCTGAAAAAGAATTGTTACATGTTTTTATATTTTATTAAAACTACTTTATTGTTTGATCTCAAAAGAATTTGTTTCAAGCGTAAAGTTGATAATCACATGTTTATTCGTTCATTTGTTCATTTATATTTACATTTACATTTTTTCACTCATATATATATGGATTAATTTTAAATGTATACTAAAAAAAGTAAAAAAAAAATTTTTTTTTAAATTTCAATTGATAAAAAGTATTCGAGTCACAATAATCATAATATTCTTTTTTCTTTTCATTTTCAATCGGTCACGGTCAGTTACTATCCAGTCGATCATTAATCATCAGTCAACGGAAAACTGGTCTACCTGTTTTACTGGATCATAACCGACCGTGACTCGACTGTAGCATTGAAAAAACAAAATAGTTTAAATCCTACAAGAACAACCTTCGTAATATTGAAATAAAAATTTAAACATCATGAAAAAAGATTATTCCTTTCACCAACAAAAAAGGACGAAAAATAATTTTAATTTATTATACCTTATTCAATTCCTCCACTCTGGGCCGGCTGGACTCTAGGCCTTCCTCTTTTGACCGTTGGATTCAACGGTCGTACGTGACTCTTCTCTAGTAATCATGACGTATAGAACGTAACTAGTATTTCATTGTTTTCATGAAGTTATGAAAGTATTTGGTCAGAGAGATAATAAATGGGAGGTTTGCAAAATCATGTTTGGATTATTATGTTTTATAACTTTTTTTTTAATAGCAAAACGACCCAAATATTTATATGAAAAAAATCCGTTGTGTGTAGCCTTATAATTTACCCAAATTTATGTGTAAAAGGTGAATGATTGATTAAAAGATTGTGGATCAAGAAAAAGGACTTCATTGTAATTTTTTTGTAAATCGGATGAATTCGACATGATAACGTTTTTCATCTTACCATTTTCAAAAGAATAGTAAAGATTTCATAATGTAATGTCACCAACAAAATGTTGCAATTTGCCACCAAAAGATTTAGATTATATCTATTTTTTTTTTTTTGGTATACCCGATTACCCGATCCATGTTATGATACTTGACAAAGTTTAATGTTTGTAAAAAAAAGAAAAAATGTACTCCAAGGAGAAAGTCAAAGATTATGAGATTTTTTTCAAAGCAAATGAGCACCAAAAACGTTGGATTTTTTTTTTGATTTATTTCAGCAGTTATCGATTATGGGAGACGAATTTTCCTTAATTATGTTAATCAGTTTTCAGTGTATATTAAATATACAAAAAAAAGGTTAGGCACAAGAGAAAAATTTTAATATGGATTAATTTGATTTATTGATTGGGTTCATTCAGTTTGTAATCCCATATTTGATGATTAATATGTACTTCAATAATTGTTACATTGAAAACAATAATAAATCAAGTTTTGAAAAGAACAATCAATTATTTCGTAA